TGGTCGAGGTTATGCCGAGTTGATGACAGTGAATGATGCCTGGAAAGCAGACAAACATTTGTTGCAGATTGTCTCCAACCTGCAGAAGACCGAGTTGTGGAAGGAGCATCTGGATACTGATTTACACGAGCCCGCAGAAAAAATCATGATGTTGAGCTTGCATTTGCTGATGAACAGGGTCTGGACTTGCAGTCTTTTTTCACTTCCACCAGATGCCTATGCGGGATTGCTGTCACCTGATGCAGAAATTCGGACGATCACGGCTTTGAAGGCAAAGGGCCATCACACATCACTCTTGAGGTTGGAGTCGACATTGGCACGGTCCACTCCAAGTGTTCATGCCCGGCAACTCTTCACAGACCTGCAAGTTGGAATCAGCCATCCTTCGAGACTTTTTCTGGACACATTGGAGGCACAGGGATATGAAGTGGCGCCTCCGGGGTCAGAAGACATTGTCGTGGATGATGTTGACACAGAGCAGGACGGGGAGATGGAGGATTCTGTGCCTGAAGAAGCAGATGACGGTGCCGGAGTTGGTGACATTTTGTTAGACGGGCAAGAGGGCAGAGTGCCAGCTCAAAGGACTGTAACAATATCGGTACCAGCATGCCCTGCAACCCACCTGCTGAGTGTTCTGGTGCAGACGCTGCCAGACAACAAGATTGTGGAAGATGTGCACAACAAGATTCGTAATGATTCTTTGTTGAACAAAACCCGCAAGCAAACATACTCCACGATTCAAACTGTGATCGAGAATTCAAACGTCTTTGAAAGCCGTTCAATCAGGCATCCGGCAAAAGTCAAACGGGAATATTTTGAAAGGGAGTTTTGGAATGTGGACAGGAAGCGCCAAAAGTTGTGCTTCAGAGGATGTGTCCACAAGCTGCCGTCACAGTATACCGAGATTGTCGGCGACAAGACATGGAACACCCTGTCAGAAGAGACACTCGAACGAGCATCAGCTGCGTGGTCATGGCTAATTCACTACAATGATGCAAGACTGGCATCTCAGCATGTTCCCTTGCGTGCTGGGAAGTTTAGCAGCCTTGCAGCCCCTTTGAAGATCTTGAACCATGTCTTGGATTTGACATGCTATCTCTCTCTTGGGGCAAAAACCTGGGCTGCTCTCATGTGGCCAGTGGTCCAGCATGAGGACCAGTCGACAGGAGAGATATATTTTGTTTTGAAGGCAGAGTGCCCGGATGGTTCCAGCGTCAAGGCCTGCTGGATTCATTTGTATGAGCCCCAGTATTGGGAAGTCATCGAAACAGAGGCAGTCTTCTGGAATGGCTTCATTTGCCTCCGTCGTTGTGCTACAAGCTCAGTGTCACTTCTATCCTATATGTTGCAGCATCCCAAGTGACATGTTTTCATTTAGGATTCTGTCAACTGTCGACCCATACAGTAAATAGTACAATAAACTTATATAAGTTTTGCTGTGCTTGTTTTTGCTGACTCGACTGAGGGAAATGTCACAAGCATGTCGGACTCTCGCAGACTGCCAGAATCTCGCCGAGCATGTGATCTCCCAGACTGGAAACGTAGACGAAAAAAAGCGAAAGGAGCTGCAACGAATGCGCCGTCCAAAGCTCATGAGCCTGATCGCTTCTCATCACCTTCCGGAAGATGAGGATTTCATGCGCAAAATTGAGGCTATGTATTCGACAGCCAAAGATTCAACAGAGGATGAGGATGAGGATGACATTATCATGGGGGACTTTGTTGATGAGCTGGTTCTTGACGACCTGCTTGCTGAGGACAAACAGGAATTTAAAATGGTCTCAGACGCAGTCAGAAAACGCAGAATCAAAAGGGTGCATCAAACCTGGCAGGCCATCAAGACGCAGCAAGCAAAGGCCAAGGCAAAGGGCAAGGCCAAAGCAAAGACCAAAGCAAAGGCCAAGCCACAGGCCAAACGGAAAGCCAAGAGAAAGATTTGTCGCCCACGTATGTTGCCCAGGAAGCAACCCGCGCCTCCTGATGAAAGTGGTCAAGAGGGAGCAGAAGGCAGAGTGCCAGCACCTCCTGCTGAGGTGCCGGTGGAGCCGGAGCCTGATAATCACGTGGAGGCCGCGGAAGGCAGAGTGCCAGCCCCTCCTGCTGAGATGCCGGAGGTGCCTGCTGCAATCCCTGTCCCAGAGCCTGATGATCACGTGGAGCCCGAGGAAGGCAGAGTGCCAGCCCCTCCTGCTGAGATGCCGGAGGTGCCTGCAGTGCCTATCCCAGCACTCGAGCCACGGGAGGTTGCAGTCCGTGGCCCCCAACATCAGCGGCGGCCGAACCGTGTTGACTACCAAGGGGTATGGACACCTGTTCAATGCCCGGAGTGTCCCAAGATCGCTGGTGAGATGAAGTACGACCCGAATCCTGGTGGCACTGACAAAGCAAAATGGTTTCTCCGAGTTCGTGTGACAGACGGCGGTCTCTTGGAAAGATTCGGAACATTTGTTATAGCTTCGATGTGGTTGCCTGATCTGCTGTGTGTTGTGTCACATTACATGAACCCATGTGTGTCTGGCATTGAAGGCGAGTGGAGCCACCTCGTACCCTATCACTGGGGACGTGTGGCTTCCAAGATGACAGAAGCGCAGGCCAGACAACACGTCATTGACCATAGGCCCTGTTGTGGCCCGACCAGGAGGCCTGGCAACAACTAGAGGATTCATCCTGCGCTGCAAAGAAAAGTTGTGTGTCTGTCTGTGTGCTTGCATTGATGGCAGCGGGTCCTGCTAGATTGGAATGCGTCCGAGAGACTGTGTGTTTCTGCTTGGGGAAGACGGATTGCGAAAGCATGTTCGCATTTTCACACATGTGGAATTTGTCACGTGCAAGCACATGGACAATCATTTCGAGTGCCACAACCCGGAAGCCGCACAAACTAGCACATGTGGTTTGAAGCCGTGCGTGCTTGTGACTGAACAGTAGCCGTCCAGAGCAATGCATTTCGCCCCGATCGAACGAGGAGAGTGTTTCTTCAGAGGCGAGCTCTCCCCAATCTTGATCAAAACCGCTTGCGAAAAATTGGCCAAAGCGCCTGACCAGTGGAAACCAGCTGAGAGATGGAAGGAAGTTTATGACGACGTGCCTTGGGAAATCATGGTTCGCTACCTGCGTTACTGGCCACGTATTGGCTCCCGCATTACAGGAGGCCTCAGGCTTCTTCGACGGTACGAAGGCCCCTTCCCGAAGTGTTATCAGGTGGGTGAAGGAGAAGAACCGCTGGAGTTGCCGCGCGTTTCTCTCGTTTGTGATTTTGTTTATGTTTGGAACGACGAAGATGAACAACAACGGCAGTTTGTCCTTCAGATGAAACACCTCTCACTTGTTGCCATCCGTCTCGGTGGTCCGGGGGAACTTCCTGACCTTGATGCTGGAGCAATACCTTTGACCGACCAGCTTTGTGCAAAGTTGGGGTGGCAATAATTAATGGATCTTGAGGCGGGAAGGCAGAGTGCCAGCAGCTGGGAAGGCAGAGTGCCAGACGTTGTCGCGTCACCCAGCTGTACCCTGCTTCGCCTGCACGTGATTCGCTTGACAGTGTGGTCAACGCAGAAAAGCGCAACATCCAGCAGTTCGTAGCCACTTCACGTGATTTGTGCATCCCTAATACTATCAAACCCTAAAACTATGGCACTCTGCCTTCTAGCCCCAAACCCTAAATACTAAAGACCCTGAAACTCTAACCCTAACCCTTTCATTACCCTCAAACCCTAACACTATGGCACTCTGCCTCTAACCCCAAACCCTAAATATACTAAAGACCCTGAAACTCTAACCCTAACCCTTTCATTACCCTCAAACCCCTAATACTATGGCACTCTGCCTTCTAACCCCAAACCCTAAATATACTAAAGACCCTGAAACTCTAACCCTAACCCTTTCATTACCCTCAAACCCCTAATACTATGGCACTCTGCCTTCTAACCCCAAACCCTAAATATACTAAAGACCCTGAAACTCTAACCCTAACCCTTTCATTACCCTCAAACCCTAACACTATGGCACTCTGCCTGCTAACCCCAAACCCTAAATACTAAAGACCCTGAAACTCTAACCCTAACCCTTTCATTACCCTCAAACCCCTAATACTATGGCACTCTGCCTTCTAACCCCAAACCCTAAATATAATAAAGACCCTGAAACTCTAACCCTAACCCTTTCATTACCCTCAAACCCCTAATACTATGGCACTCTGCCTTCTAACCCCAAACCCTAAATATAATAAAGACCCTGAAACTCTAACCCTAACCCTTTCATTACCCTCAAACCCCTAATACTATGGCACTCTGCCTTCTAACCCCAAACCCTAAATATAATAAAGACCCTGAAACTCTAACCCTAACCCTTTCATTACCCTCAAACCCCTAATACTATGGCACTCTGCCTTCTAACCCCAAACCCTAAAGACCCTGAAACTGTAAACCCTGTGCCAGGTCTTCTTCATCCTCGTCTTCTCGGAAAAAACATTAAAAAATGTAGTTTTTTTTGTTTTAAAGTTTTTAAAAATTTTTAAAAGTTGTTTAAAGTCTTTAAAAGTCTTTCAAATTCTTTTTAAAGTTTGTAAAAGCTTTTAAAAGCGTTTAAAAGTCTTTTAAAGTCTTTTTAAAGCTTTTAAATGTATTTTAATGTTTTTAAAAGTCTTTTAAATATTTTAAAAGCCTTTTAAAGTTTTGAAAAGTCTTTTAAAGTTTGCAAAAGTCTTCTAAAAGTTTCTAAAAGTCTTTTAAAGTCTTCTAAAAGTTTTTAGAATGTTTTTTCTTGCATTTGAAAGTTTTTAAAAGTCTGTAAACGTCTTTAAAAGCCAACTCTGTCGAAAAAGCCCTGTGGATCTAAACCTTGTGGTTCTGGTTCGGTGCAAAGGGGCAATGATCAGAGTGGCTGATTCCAGTTGAGGTCCGGTGGCATCGGTCCCTATTTGGTGGGAGCAGAGGAAGGGACACTGGCCTTTGGCAATGTGGTTTCGGAGGTTGCTCCACTTCCTGAACGGGTATTTGCACAGACTACATGTAGGCATACCGTCGATGCTGTGCCTGAATCGGTCAAACGTGTGCACGGCCTGCTTGGGTGTGCGGACCTGATGTTTCCTGGCCTCATGGGCTCTCCGAAGGTGGTAAGTTGAGAAGGTCTCTCCACAGTAGCGGCATTCCAGAATGGCCTCTGGTTCACACTCTCGCGTACCTGGCGCGTGGTCGCGCGGGGGCGGTTGCGAAGTTAGTGAGAGCTGAAGGCCCTCAGCAAAGCGCAGCACTTGGGGAGCAAGGAGAGAGGAGTCTTCCACCTGCAGTTGCTGAAGATTGGCCTGCAAGCGAGCCAGGTCTCTCTCGACAATCTCAGCGACGTCAGGCACACCGGCCTTACGAAGGATTGCCTCGTTGCTGACACGATGGAGGTGCGCCGGGGATCTGAGGATGGCACGGAGTTGTCGAAGATACAGAGTGCGAAGTTGGCTGAGACCACCTGCTGGTAAACCCGTGGCAGCCAGTCCGTAGGTGAGCATGGGTGGTATGCTCGCTCGCCAAATGTTAATCCGGTCCTTAAGGAAGAGGCCTCGTTTGGAGCACACCACTTTCCGAAGTCTGGACCATTCGGCTTGTACAAGCTGAACACGATGCTGCAGGGTGGCAAGTCGCGGGTTCTTATAGCTTATTCTGACCCCTAAATAAGTGTGAACCTCCACAACTGGAAACTCGAACAGCCGACCTGTCGGAGTACGTAGACGCATGACTTGCCCGTCAGGAGTGGGTCGCAGGTGCTGCTTAAGCCATTTGGAAGCGAAGGTGCCCCGAAAGAGGAAGAGGACCGCAGATTTCTGGGCATTCACCGTGAGGCCGGCAACGCAGAGGATATCAAGAAGCTGACCTAGGCGTACTTCAAGACGACAGAGCTCGGCATATGAACTGATCTGACTCCCGGCGTGGAAGTCATCAGCGTATGTTGTGACATCAGTCGTCACCCACAGAGGATCTGCACAGAGGGCAAGCTCATAGAGGAAACGACCGGTGACAAGAGACCATATGAGCGGAGCAATAAGACAACCTTGTTTCAGGCCTCGACTAGCAGAGATGTCGACAGTCTGGCCTTGCACAGTAAGGACATACTTGATATCGCGATACCATTCCAAAACGTGGGCTTGGAGTTCAAGGGGTACTGAGGCGTCATCAAGTGCAGTGGCTATGTGTATCCATTCCATGTGGTCGAATGCTGAGCTTAGGTCAAGTGATAGCTGCAGGCCTCCAGCGGTGGCCGGTGGCTTTGGTATACCGGCTCTTGCCTCGCGAGTTGTCCAATCCGCGGACATGCAGGAATCAATCACAGCCTGACAGTGTGCTTGCACGCGAAGAACCGAGTCGAGAGTGCCTCGGCCCGGAACATAAGCGAATTGAGGTAGATCCTTCAAATATTCAAGAACGAATGGCCTTAGTCGATTTTGGAGGATCTTGGAGACAATTCGACCTGAGACTTCCGTGACTCCTATGGGCCTGAGGTGCTTCGGAAGGGTTGGTCTCGTGACTTTAGGGATGAGCGCGAGCCAGGCCGCATGCCATAGTTCATCAATGGTCGTAAGGTCATTGACGAGCTCAGATAATTTCGGCATCACCTCCTCCGAGCAGAGTCGCCAGGCAGCTATGGGTGCCAGATGCTCCGGAACAGCCTTATGCACTGAGAGGCCTGCCAACGCACTGGACAGCGCGGTGGGGTCCATGTGGAGACTGGGCATAGTTTCAGCTCGTTCAGGCTGGCAGAATTGGCCAGTGTAGCTACTGCGAAGATGGGCTGACAGCAGTTGGGCCTGCTTCTCCGGAGAGATAAGTCCTCCATCCGGGGCTCGAAGCTGTACCTGAGTATACCGTTTCTTGGGTGCCAGCTGCCGGACTCCCTGATAGAGCGCACGGATATTATGTCGACGGGCATGCATGCCGAGCTCGTGAAGCCTGTCAGAGTACCAGGCATGTTTGGCAAGCCGGCCGGCACGGCGAAAATCTCTGTGGGCCTTCTGGAATTTGGCGTAGTGAAACCATGCCCTCCAAATCGTGGAGGTTTGGCGGCTGGCCGCCTGACGCCACTGTCGATAGTGGGTCCACATGGCACGTATACCTCCTTGCATAGCCGGTGACTGCCAAGGGGCTAGCCTCGTGCTACCAGCGCGCAGTGGCAAGTGGAGCTGCAGGGCAGAGGTGAGGCAGTCGTTGATTTCTTGAACGGACCGACAGTGTTGGATGTCGTGATGCACCGATCGTCTCAGCTGTATTGCTTGGGGACACTGCGGTTCCGAGAGGAGCTGCATTAGGTCCTCCTTGCTCCAGGAGCGTGGGCGCACTGGTGGGGCCTTGTTTAGAGATGCAAACCGGATTAGAGGGAGGACGCCACTAAGTGGTACATGCCTGCCACCGGCTCGCCAGGCCGCTACGGTCATAGGGTCCCGGCCTGTCTGCCGTGCCAAGGGATGGGCCTGCGCAGAGCGGGTCAGCACATGGTCAATAAGACTTCGCTGTTCACCGCAGACATAGGTGGGTCCCGCGCGCCGGGACCAGGAGTTGAGGTGCAGGAGGTCATGGTCATCAAGGATGCGGGCAAGTCTGGGGGCATCAGCAGGGAGGCGGCTGTTCCATTTGGTAACAATGCGACCTGCACGCGGATGGGCAGCAAGTGGCGTGTTGAAATCTCCTAGGAGCAGCAATGTGTGTCTGGCGGGGAGGGTTTTAAGGGTGTGATCAAGCTTGTCCCAAACAGCATGACGGACCTGGGCGGCTGTTTGTGGCGGTGAGCTCTGGGAAACCGGCGCCTCGTCGGAGGTTTTGGTTGGAGAGCTCTGCCAGCTCATTGGACGTTGATAAACGACCAGGATGTCAAGGGCCCAGGCCATATGAGTCAAGCGGACATGAAGGAGACGGCCTGGGTAGGGTTCCGCCGTGGAAATGACACAGTCAGCAGAGAATGCCTTATGGACGAGGAGCAGCACTCCGGCGGCTTTGTAGCCGTTGCGATGCGAGCTGAGGACTCTCCACGGGCCTGTAACATAGTCAGAGTTACTCGTTTCGGCCCAGTGAGTCTCTTGGACTGCGACGACATGTGGTCGCCTGTCTGGTGCGAGTGCAGCCAGAGACAGGAGCAGTTCTTGGTAGACCTCGCTGGACAGGCCACCGCAGTTGAGACTAAGGAATCTAACATGGGGCCCCAGCCTTAGCTCGAGGCGCAGTGGTGGTGGTAGTCTGGTCCTGAGAGTAGTGTTGGGAGTGAAGCTGATGCAATGTTTGCCAGCGTCCACGGTAGCGGGTGCCTCCAGAACTGGAGGCCGCTGCTCGACGGATGGCTCGTTTGTAGGAGCGTTTCCTGGCCAAGCTGTATTGCCCGAGCGGGGCAGACACACGATCTGTCGGCTGGGCTCCAGGCAGGACGGTCGGGCAAGTGTGGACACCTGTGGGACAGCTACACAACCAGAGGCATGGCAGGAGGCGGGTGATTGGGCCTGCCAGATGGTATGTAGATCGATTCGGACGACGCGATGACTTTGGGCAGACTAGGGGCTGCTTGACAGTGCTCGAGAGAGGCTGCTGCAGCGGATGCCCTGTGCAGGTGAAACAATGACTGTGGTGACTCTGGGCTGGGACACGTGTGTCCGCCAGCGCCTCTTGGATGCAAGAACATAAAAAGTGTTGCTTCTCACGCCTAGGCTTCCCAGCAGACAGAGACTGACATGCTGGTCCTGAGAGTCCTCGGCTACGACTCTCGACCCTCGGTTCTGCTCCACCTGTTTTCTGGCAGCTCGAACTCGGAATAGGAGACGAAAAGGGTTGTCGAGGATGCCATCTGTTGGTGAAGCTTTGGGACTTGGGACCCAAATGGCTCGATTGGATCGGAACGTTGCTATGCAAATGTCGATGGCATCGCAGTTGCATACGTGAGCATAAAAGACCCCGATTGGAGAAGAGGTCTAGCCAAAGCCATCTTCTATACTGTGACCGCAAGTGCCCGGAGTATAGGGACAGCAGGGGTACGAGCTGACGGGGTTTTCGCCGGGCTCGGTGATTAGAATGACGACCAGGAAGGCGGACTACATAGCACCGGGCTCGCAGGGGTCTGGGTGTGTGCAGACGAAGAAGCAGGTGCAGTAGGTAGGCTCTGCGGTCACAGTGGCAGACTGGACTGTGACGTGGACTAGTCCATTTGCTCCAGCTGCAGGTTTGCGGTTGCTGCACAAGAGGAGGCAGGCTGCGAACGCTCAGGTGTACCTTCAGCCTGTAGGGCATAGTGCTCCTGCATACAGTAGAGCAAGGCACAAGGTCTGTAGGGTAAGTGCAACCTCCAATGGCCTTCCATGGGCCTATTTTGTTGTGCTGGTTCCATTTGAGAGGTCCCACAGGGTCCTGCCAACACACCGGAACGTTGAGACTCAAAGGGAGGTGGCATTCCCAGGGTGGTGACTGTTGTGCTCTGCGACGGAATAGCACGGGCCACATAGGACCTGGCGGTGGGAGCGCACGAAGTTCACACATGTAGGACCAGCACAGAAGGTTACAGGGGCCCGACTTGACACAGATGCGGCAGTGAGGTCCAGGCAGGGGGTCTCCAAGTGGTCCACTGTCCTGCGGGCGGTCACTGCTGGTGAGGACGGCCTGTGCTGACGGAATGTGGACACATCCTGGTGCTTGAGGCAGACCTGGAGCGTGAGGGGGACACTGGCATTGTCTAGGGCACTCACGGCAAGGTGCTTGGTATCCGGCAGTGGGCATAGATTGGCCGTAGTACGCCGAGCACTTAAATCTCCGTGGGGGCTTACTGCCTGGGACTCGTCGACAGATGAAGCAGCTCGAGTCCGCTTGCTGTTGAAGGAGTACGTGTGGCCAGCCCTGCAGGTCATGAAGTGTGTGAGATGAGCCAACATGTCTCGCGACACCAGGGGTGCCGGGCCGGTGGCCTCTTGCCAGTGGCGTAAGCAGACCTGTGAAGATGCTAGGAGCTAACTTGTGGAACATGTGCCTGGGCAGCGGATCCTGCCTGTCGCAGTGGTAAGTGTGCAAACGCCGGCAAGATGCTGACGCCTTGTCGCCAGTTGGTCTGTTGGATCCTGGGCAGACGTCAAGGGATGAGCGGCGGTAGGCTTGCCAGGAGAGTACTGTATAGGGCAGAGACTCGCAACTTGCGTTTTGACCAGCCATGATCGGTGCACGATGGATCTGACGTGAAACCATGTCACAGACTGTGAGGACATCAGGCCATCTTTCCTTTGGCAGCACTAACCTGTAGGCCATGAAGAGTCGCTCCAGTCGTGCCAGCGGCTGCGCCGTGCCCTCGAGGGCATAAAGAAGGATGCGGTTGATGTCCTGGTAGAGCAGTCGCCAGCTATGGGACCAGGGCCGGTGGAGTCCCCAGCTATACCTGCCAGCCCTCCAGTTGCGGATGCCTGCCTTCTGGTCGGTCTCCACATTCCGCTGCGTGGCGATACGCCGGTAGAACCAGCCACGGAAAGGTGAGCGTTTGCCCATTGGTATCGGAAGTCGCCGGCCAAACTTGAGGCGATCACCAGACGGCCTAGCGAGCCAGCTTGTTCTGGGTCGGCGCCTGCGAACAGGTTGAAGCTCCGCCACTAGTGCCGTATCTTCTGGGAGTGGCGATGTGGTCGAGGCTGGAGTAGGGCCGGCATCAGGGATTGGGGCTGCCGTCCACATGCCTAGAGAAGGTTCATCCTCCACCACCACGGTGACCATGTCGTCCTCGGGTTCCGTCGTGGCCGGCGGTGTCTGGGGCTGCTTCGCAGTCATGGTTTCCTCCGCAGCCTCCGTCTCAGCCGGTGTGCTTCGAGGCTGAGGGCGTCGTTTTGGCTTCGGTGGCAGCCTGGGCATCTTCTTCGGCTTGGGATGGAGATACGGGGATCTTGATCTGGGCCTAGATCTTGCAGGGGTCCGAGAAGTGCTTGCAGTGAGAGCACGAGCTCCATCAGGCCCTGTATGGGAGGATGCCCTTCCCCGTGTAGCACCGGTGCGGTTCACCCCCGGAGTCCGAGCTCGGCACGGCCGCTTCGCAGAGTAAAGTGTCAGAGGTGGGGTAGTATGCGGGCTAGAGCCACTTGCGACAGCAGATGGGTCCTGATCGTCACTGGCCAGTTGCTGAACCACTGCCCAGGCCTCATCCTCCTCTTCCCTGCGCTCCCGTTCGGCACGGGCAGCTCGACGCTCCTTCTGTCCCGGCTTATACCTCCATCGACCCTGTCTGGCATCCCATCCCATAGCTACCGATCCTAGGCAGTATTGGGAAAAATCAATCCGCATCGCCTGGCAGGCCTGTAACCTGAGGGTGGCTGGGTGCTGAAATAGTTGCTCGGGTAAGCTAAGACAAGGTTGGGGAGTGGAAAAGAGACATGGACCCCAAATGATGCATCCTTGGGCCTGGCCGAGAGTCATCCGAGCAAGCAAGGGATCGCTACACCAAGGCAAGGCGAAGTCTGATGCAGCAAACAGCACGAACCAAGGAGGGGACCACATGCTTGGCGAGGGAACAGGCTGAGCAGAGCCTGGGATGAAGCTACGGGACTTGCAGGGGCGTCTATCGGCACTAGACACGAGTGCCGGCCTGTAGGCACTGCAGGCAGAGGGGTGGAGGAAGTCGGGGCCTGACAGTTCAGCTATCATGAGACGTACACTCAGCACGTGCCATGCACTCTGGCTGAGGTTGTGGCGACCGCGAGCCGGCCATCCTGTGCACAGTGCAGAAAGCAGGTGCCGGGGCAGGTCAGAGATTGCAAAGGCCTGAGCCTTGCTGACCGGGTGCTCCCAGCCGCAGGCCTGTGTGTCGAATGCTATCCAACCCTGTGGGGTCCTATTAAGTGGGAGCGTCCCTGCCGAGAGCCGGCTGGCCTCCCAGGAGGAGGCAGCCGTACGGTCCGCCATGCTACCTCGGGGGGGTGGACACTTAGTAGGTGGGTGGGGTCCTTGGGTGCAGTGACAACAGAGGCTTACCTGCACAAGCAGCTGATTTTCATCTCCGTTCCGCTGGCCATGGATGTTACATGCGGTCAACCGGTGCAGTCCGTACCGTAATCTCGACAGAAAACGCCAGGTTGTGAGGCACGGTGACGATGAGGGTGCCCGGAAAGGGAGATGTCGCGCCAACTGCACCTGAGGTTGTCGTGGTAGTCGTCGGGAGTCCTGTGGCAGGTCCGCGGCGCACATCATCCGTCCCTGGGCCCGATCGGAGGGCACCAAAAGCCGCAGCGGGTGTTCCTGGAGCAGGTCCTGGCAGATTAACCGGAGTCGGTGGCGGGGGGCCAGCAGGTCCCACCTTCGGTGCTGCCTTGGGTGGCACTGCAGAGGCCTTGGCCGTGGGATCGGGGCCATCTTCGTCTGTCGTGTTGAACAGATCTTCAATGGAGTCTGAGGTAGCGGTAGGCCATGTGGATGGCGCAGCCGTACGGGCCTTGGCACTTGCCCGAGTGGCGGTGGCCTCTGCGGCGGATCCACCTCTTTTCCGAGGCGCCATGTGTCCGGCTGAAGCTTGGAGAGGGGTACACACCGAGGGCCTATTGCGAAGCTTGAGCGGCCAGCTGTGCACGGGCAGGTCAAGATATTGCATGCAGCAGGACAGCTTTCACCAGCTGTGCAGTTAGCAGAACAAGTGCTCTCGGGCCGTGACTCAGCTGGACGATCCCAGGGGCCCACACGCAGGCTTCGAGCACGAGGCTGCTGAAGTACAAGTGTGCACAGAAGCAACAGGGCATGCACCATCCTGCGGCCTACAGCCGTGTTTGGTTGGGGTTCCGCGGGCCAGCTAGCGGGCTTACGTTCCAAAAAGCGGAGGCTCAGAGTTTCCGAGATCAACTGCTCCGCTGAGAGCCAAGAACCTTAGAAGTAGCAGTAGCAGTAGCAGTAGCAGTAACAGTAGCAGTAGCAGTAGCAGTCGCAGTCGCAGTCGCAGTGGCAGTGGCAGTGGCAGTGGCAGTGGCAGTGGCAGTGGCAGCGGCAGCGGCAGTCGCAGTAGCAGTAGCAGTAGCAGTAACAGTAGCAGTAGCAGTAGCAGTCGCAGTCGCAGTCGCAGTGGCAGTGGCAGTGGCAGTGGCAGTGGCAGTGGCAGTGGCAGTGGCAGCGGCAGCGGCAGTCGCAGTAGCAGTAGCAGTAGCAGTAGCAGTAGCAGTAGCAGCAGTAGTAGTAGTAGTAGCAGCAGCAGCAGCAGGAGCAGCAGTTGTAGTAGTAGTCGTCGTCCTCGTTGTCGTACAGAAACTGACTTCTGCGCTCACAAGACAACTACAATACCAACTGCAGCACCTCAACCCCTGAACCCTAAACCCTAAACCGAACATGAATCCTTCAAAGCCGAGAGCCCTCAATGCCAAAGCCTAAGCCTTAAAGTCTTAAGCCTAAACCCTAAACCCTAAACCTTCAACCCTAATCCCTGAACCCTAAACCCTTCTCAAACCCTAATCCCTAAACCCTACAGCCCAAACCCTAAAGCCTTAGGCCTCAACCATAAGCCCTAAAGCTTTACGCCTGAACTTGCAACTCGAGTCCTGAAGACCGTCTAAGCCGAAAAAACCTCAAGTCTGCAAAATTGAAAAGGGCTCCTTAAAGGGTTCCTGAAACGGGATCTGTAGGGATTTAGCGTTTAAAGTTTATAGGATCTACAGGGATTTCGGGTTTGGGGCCTACTTGGGGCATCATGGGGCTTACAAAGCAAGGTTATAGGTACGTTCATTGGAGCTATGAGAAACTGGTACTCATCGTTACTCTGCTTCTAAACCTGGCTACAGAGTCCCATGAACCTGTAAGTACGCCTAAACCCTAAACCTTAAATCTAAACCCTGCGCCTGCAGGTTCTGGGGCCCACGACGGGATCCTCGGTCTGCTTGCCCAAATACTTCTGCGGTATCGGTGCAGCCGCAAACGAGTGACCCCTTGGCGGTTGCAACGGTTTCGGGCCTTGGGGTTTAGGGATTAGGGTTTCGGGTTTAGGGTTTGGGTTTAGGGTTTAGGGACAAAAAAAGGATGGACTTTTATTTCACAATGGTTCTCTTTCAGTAGCAGGTCCGGAGAGAAGTATTCAAGTATGGTACTCCAAAGCCCAGTCTGGTTTGAGGGGAGTTTGGAGTCTAGACCCAAGAGTAACCTAGGAATAAAAAGGGTGCCCTTTTTGGTTTAAAGGGGCTTATAAGGGAACCTGAACCCTAAAAAAGGGAATAAGGGCCTACTCTGGGTCCTAGGAGTTCAGGGTCTTTGGGAGGACTTTGGGGTTTGTTCAGATGCGGACTCAAGTTTCGGCTTTTGGGACGGCTTACTTAAAGGCTCATGGGACTTAGTAAATAAGGTTATAAGTAGGTTATAATTAGGGGAACCCCACTTAGGGGACTTATAACCCCAATTATAACCTACTTACTAAGTTACTAAGTCCCATGATCCTTTTAAGTTCTTCAAGCGTCAGTGGCTTCTGGGTAGTGTCATGAGCAGGGGAACCCCAATTGCATGTAACGCAACTAGCCCCGAGTATGACCTGCCGTCTGTCGTCGTACACCAAACCCCAATCCCCTACACACCCTACCTTTGGGGCGCTAGTTCCTGCCTGTTTCAGAGGATCTCTGTTGTGCATTGAAGAAGTGTAAAGGCCTGAAATGACATTAGTAGGGTCTGGGTGTATCATATTGTAGTATAGTAGCCCTTAACCCTGAACTTCAGCTGTAAAGGCATGCTATTTCTGACTATTCAGAACTCGAGGTGATGCTTCTTGAAGCGAACAGTGTTTCAGAAAAACCCTGCCGAAGTCAAATGATTCAGGGCTTTCTGGGTGACGGCGTTCGGGACTCCCTGGCTTGCAGAAAAGGTTTACCCTATGTTTCCAGGGAACTTATTGTTGGGTCATTAAGGGGTCCAGGGCCCTAACAATGAGGTCCCTGGAAGGATAGGGCTTAAGGCTCAGAATGCAAAACGAACAAAATATGCTACACCCTAAACCCACCCAAATGACCGGATCGTTTGGAAAAGACCTAGTGCTTGGAGGTTGATGGGTAGTTATAAGTGGGTCCATGGTTAAGGTAACCATAACTATAACCCATATTAGGGGACTTATAACCCAACTTATGACTACCCATAAACCACCAAGTATGGGACCCCCAACCCAAGAATCCCCGACACCCACCCCGAAACACTTCCTACCATTCGTAGAAACCTAAATGCTTCCCGAGACCCTTTAGAAAGCTCCTCAGACGGCAGAGCTGTGGACTTAGGATTTTTTGGGGGGTGGCTCCTTGTGTTGATGATATTAATCCTGCATTTGGAATTATGGTATATTCCGTATTATGGGTGATGCAGGATTTATATCATCAACCGTTTCTCCATCTGCAATCCACAGGTAGAAGGCCGTTCGGACTTAGGATTTAAAGGTTTGGGGTTTGCAGTTTGAGGGTTCGGGGTTTAGGATTTACCTTAACCCCAAATAACCTACCTTTTTTGGGGACTTATATAAAGAAATCATATTAGTGGGCCCTAAAAAGGTAGGTTCCTTAGGGTCCAGGTAGGCATTACTTGGAGGATCATGGGACTTAGTAAGTCAGGTTATAAGTACCTTAATTGGGGTTATAAGTAATTATAAGTATAGTTGCCTTACTTATAACCCCAGTTACTAAATCCCATGATCCTTTAAGTAGGACATCAGACCGAGGGTTGAGGGCCAAGCCTTTCAGCGTCTTTCGGAGCTTGGAAGCTTCGTTGCAGGATCCCGGAACCCTGAACATCAAACCCCTGGACCCAAAATGTAAAACCCTAAACCCCAAACCCAAAATTTAAAACCCTAAACCCAAAATTCAAAACCCAAAAACCCTAACCCCTAAACCCGAAGCCCCTGCGAGCTTTCAGGGGCCCCCGGCCGGCCGCCCAGGCGCCTTAGGGGGTGTTTCCGCTCTTGTTCAAGGCGTTCTTTCCTGGGTTGTAGTTTTGGGGCTAAAAGTATTAGGGTTTAGGGTTTAGGGTTTGGGGTTTAGGGTTTAGGATTTAGGGTTGTAGTTTTGGATAAGAACCATAAGGGACATTAAAACATGTCCCAGGTTGCCACCTAGTTTCTATCCTAGAGCCTCAGAGGGCTTTGTTCTAAGTGGCTTAGGTTTGGGTCTATCGGGCCTGGGTTTGGGGCTTAGGGTTTTGCGCTTAGGGTTTATTGTTGAGGCTGGGTGTACTTGGAAGGGCAGGGGGCTTAGTAAGTCGTTTATCAGTAGGGTTATAACTGGGGTAGCTCCATTTAACGTACTTACCATTCTACTTATAACCTACCTGGACCCTAAGGAACCTACCTTTTTAGGGCCCCCTAATATGATTTCTTTATATAAGTCCCTAAAAAAGGTAGGTTATTTGGGGTTAAGTTACTTACTAAGTCCCCTGCCAGTCCAAGTAGGTGTTGAAACTCGGGTCTCCAGCTTTAACGGATCCGTTTTCGGGCTCAGGGCTTCGGATTCCGGGCTTGCAGAGGCGGGGCAAAGGGAGGCGGAGGTAAAATGCCCTTTGCGGGGCTTCCGAAAATTAGGCGTTCCTTGAATCCCACCATTTATAGGGTACTTTCTTTGGGTCCCCTGCTTTCGGAAACTCCTATATCCTATCTGAGAAGGATAACCATGGCAAGGCGGAGAGCAGGAGGAACAGCAACATCGCGTGATGCTGAGACTAGCTCACTGGCACCGGGCCTTGATAACTGGAGTAGGGTTCTGGGGGCATTCAGACCTTTCGGAGAAAAGGGGTGCAGGTTTGGAGGCTTGGATGAGAGTTGGCGGCTGAAGGGCCTCAGGGCTTTAGGGCCGGGGTTGGATTTAGGGTTTAGGGTTCTAGGGTTTAGGGCTTAGGGTGTAGGGTTTAGGGAAGGTTTAAGGCTTAGGGCACAGGGCTTAGGGTTTAGGGTTTGTTGTGTTTGCTAAGGCAAGTGTTAAGCACTTTGGAGAAGCCTTGCAATGCTCACAAAACAATCGGCTTAGTGAATGAGTTGTAAAGGCACTGCAACTCCCCCACCCTAATGAAGCCCAAACCGGTCTTTGCACAAGCTCAGATATGACTTGCTTTCTCAAGCCCTACGTCAGGCACAGCTGGGGATCGATCGAAACCCGAAAGCCCCGAAATCGTAAAACCCGAAACTTAAACCTAAGCTTCCAACATATGGACCCAGTAGGGACCCCTTTATGGAGCCCTTTCATGAACCCTGAAAGGAAGCCCAATAGATCCCTGAAAGGAATCCTAGAAAGAACGTTGAGGGTCTAGGGTTTGGAGTTTAGGGTTCAGGGTTTCGGGTTTAGGGTTTAGGATTTCGGGTTGAGGGTTTAGAGTTTAGGGTTTAGGTTTGAGGGCTTAGAATGAGACCCAGACAGTAAACTGAAAGGCATCAAGCCCAATGAAACCACGAGCCCTTTCCCCCAGTGCTTAGCCCCCCACTGCAGCATGCTTTTCTCGAAGGGAAACCCTTCGTCCTGAAAAGCGTGTCGGGTGTTAACGCGCAGTTCGAGATTCTGTAGCTTCTCG